CAATTTCTAAGTCAGAATTTTGATGAAATTTGGGCAATCCATAGTTTTTTGCTCGAATATCATCATTGTAGTTTTTAGGAACCAATAGTCTTTATCGATCTCATCAACTGTTAGTGCCACATTATTTAACGTTGAATTTGAATGGATTACACGATTGTTAAAGAAATTCTTTGAAATTGAAACAAGAATTGGAGAGAATTGTATAAGTGAAGGAGCATTAGCGGTATATTGAGCACGGAAGGGTGAAAAAGAACGATTGGTAAAAGTGGATCCCAATCGTAAACTTGAAAAGAATCGTTTTGAAAATATTCCTTTTCTTATATAATAAAAAACTAATTTTAATGTAATATTTGTATTAAAGAAAACATATATGATAAATATACACATATATATATAACCGTTAAATACTGCCAAATTCGATAAAAAATTTTTTTTAATTGAATTCTGCGAGTCCATAGAATTCAAATAAAAGAATTTAATTGAATTCGATCAGGTGGTCGTCAAAATATTTTCGCTCAAAAAATCAAAACATCTATCAAGTTGCGCCAGATCTTCTCAAACTTTGAATAAAGATATCTCGACAAATACCTAACCAAATTCGATAAGACCTTTTTTTTATTCTATGTATCCATAGAATTTAAATCAAAAATGGTTTGTTGAACTTCGTCTGATGTTTATCGAGATACTCAAAATTCAAACTATCTATCAAAATAAAAAATTTTCAGACTTTGAGCAAAATATCTCATAACCACCAGACCAAAATTTTTTCTTGAATTTTACAAAGTTATAAAATTTAAATAAAAAATTCATCAAATTTAATAAGTTGACTGGTAAGATATCTTAAAGAAAAATTTTATTTTTATTGAAGATAGGTATAAATCAGGTATATCCCTATTGATTTTATTTGATTTATCTGATTTAATTCTGATTTTTTATTATAAAAAGAGCATCCTTATTGAATCTGTTACTGAAATATCTAACAATAACCCTATAGCCCCAAGAAAACCCAAGTTCAATATAGGGTAAGAAGTTATCTCAGGACAAAAGAAAGCTGCTTAGAGTTTACTATTACAAAATCATGAGATATTTGTTACTAATATCTTTAAAAATGGTCAAACTATGGGGTTAGATTATACAAATCATATGCACTATTATATCATCACTGAAGATATGATCCTATTAAGCAAAAGCCCTATTGTATTCCACTTGACGAGCAAAAATTTCTTCACAAAGAAATAAATAAGATAAAAGAATTAGATATTGTTTAATCTTTCACAGGATCTTGAAATTTTTTTATCAATATAGTTTCAAAAAAAAAAGATAAGAAATACCTCTGCATTAACTATCACAAATTGAATATTAATAAAGTATTAGACAGCTTTAGAAAAGCTATTTGGTTCTTAAGCTTCAACTTGACTAGTGATTACTAGCATGTTGTTGTAAAAAAAAACAAAAAAAATTGTAATTGTTATCAAATATGATATATATAAATTCAATATGATGTCTTTGACCTCTGTAATATCCTTGTTATATTTTAATGACTAATAAATATTCTTTTGCAGAAATTCATCAATAGATTCATTATTATATAATTAGACAATATCATAGCATTTTTAAAGACCATCTATAGAATCTTCAGACTATATTTACTAAACTAAAAGAAGCAAATTTAAGGTTAAACTTAGAGAAATGCTTTTTTTTTACTTAATATCAAATTTTTAGATTATATTATAAAGAGAGATAGATTGTATCTAGGGATGGGCAATTATATTATACCATATAATAAAAATGGTATAATAACTGTATAATTGGTATAATATAATTAATAAAATGCTGTATAATTAGTATAATATTTTAGTGTAATAAAGTTGGCCAATAGAAATTTAGATGAAATTTTTCATAAAAATGAGCAAGCACGTGACAAACCCTTATATACTTTCTAGATATTTATTATACAGTTATTATACGGTATAATAACAAGATTATTATACCACAATTTTAATTATACTGTATAATTCCCATCTCTAATTGTATCCTAACAAAAAAAAATTAACAAAATCAAAAAATATTCTATTTTTACTATCTTGTATCAAATTAGAGAATTTTTAAAACTTGTATTCTACTATAAAAATTTATTAATAGGTTCTCTAAAATAGCTAAATTTTTAAATCAACTATTAAGAAAAGATAAACTATATTTATAGACTAGTAAATAGCAATAAGTATTTATAGTTTAAGAAATTATCTTATCATAGCTATATCTTGCAACAACCTGATTTTGAATAACTCTTTTATATCTATATTAATATATTTATATCTGAATTAAGAACTATTTTAATACAAATTGATGATTGAAAATAGGAGTATATCATTGTATATGCAAGTAGAAGCTTGACTAAAGTAAAGCAAAATTACTCTTGCTTTGATATAGGCTATAGAATATTTTTATCAGTATATTGGCAGTAGGTCCTTCTACTTGATTACTAATTATGCTACATTAAAGTGACTACAAACTATAGAGCTCAAAGAAAAAAGAGCTAAATAAATTTTGCATCTTAAGCTATATAACTTTATTATCGTATATAGAGCTAGTAGAGTATATAAAAATACTGATATCTTGTCATGAATATACAAAGACAATCTTTTAGAAGAAAAAAGAATATCATGTAATTTTTTTTTTTTTTTTTTTTTTTAACGTCTACCCTCTTGGGAGCTAGGATTTTTATTCAGGTATATATAGTGAAGGGTTCTCTAGGAACCCCTACATTAGAGAGTACATACTAGCCATACGTACACTTTGGTGTCTAATTTAAGTAGTCCGCCTATACATCATACAGGTTCTATACTAGATGCCGTACCTGTAACCCAACTACGGGTGTTACTCGTTTAACCCCTCTGTAATGTATCATGTAATATTTTAAAGATCTATTTAGTAGAAATCAATAATATTAATAGAGAAGATCTAATTGTGATCTATATAATTAAGTAAAAAGAAACAGTATCTGTAATAAATGTATTAGAAGAAGTATAGCAAACTCTACAATATATCTCAACTAGTGATTGTACCTGTTGACCTACAGATAACCTGTCAGGCTGATCTGGATAGATGACAGGTATTCTTAGCAAATCGCTAGTTTGTTTATATTAGATAAAATAGAATTTAACACATTCTATTTTATCTGATATAAACAAAATATCAGCAATTGGCTGAGAATATCTGTTAGTCTACTCAGATCAGCCTGACAGATCACCCAGGTTGAATGGGTTCAATCACTAATCTCAATTTTAAATATTATAAGCAGAATAAAACTTTATCAACAAATCAAGTTTACATTATAAGATATATACTACAATAGTATAATGAGCATATGATATCATATAGAGTATATATATATATATATTTTTTTTGGTGTTAAGGTGGCCTCTTGGCCGGCTCCTTTTATTCGGTTATAGTTAACTTTAC